CCATTAAGGTCCATCATATATTACAAACTTTTTCATCATCCCCTCCATCCATCACATAATGCATCGCCCATCTACGAGGAACCGATCGTCCAACCGAAAATCGTCATCAATACATCAATCCTGGACATCCGCGCCTTTACAGTTCAGTCGATCTTCCACCCACTGCTGGATCACAGAAACCTCGTAATGTCCCTTCGCCCATTTGCCTGATGTCCAAATTTCACGTCATTTCTTCTCGCTCCTCTGTTTTTCCCTACACTGGCCAGGCCAATCTTTTCTCTTCTTTTCAAAGACAGCCGATCTCCCTCCACGTATTAGAAAGTTTTAGAGAACAGTGTCATTTCTTCCTGTTTCCCGTCCTTCTCGTTTCCTATGCTAGGAAAGTTTCTAGAACAGTGTCACTTCTTTCTGCTTCCTGTCCTTCTCGTTTCCTAGAGTTGCAAAAGTGACCGTTCGCTGAAAACACTCTAAAGGTCTCCGAAGACGTACACCGACGACCAGGTGTTTTATTCGGGTGGAGACGGCAGCAATCTAACCCAAAAATCGCACCCACCCAAACATCGTATCTACCCCAAAAACCGTACCCCAAACCCGTATCCAACCCAAAAATAGTACCCAACACCCTATCTAGGCCGAAAATCCTATCTAATCCAAAATCGTATCGAACCCCCAAAATCGCATCTAACCCAAGAGAAACGGATCTAACTGTTGGAATCGCATGCAAAAATCGTCTCTACACCGAAACTCATATCTACCCCCAAAATCGTCCCACATACAGCGCGACATTAACGACTGCACTCGTTTTGGAGACGACGGAACACTTGTAGCCCAGCACACCGATTGCTACCTTGCTCAAGTTTTGTTGACGTCATCACCATCCCTCCCTAACCACCACTGCCATCGCCGCCATTCTGGTAACCCAGCAAGTTCGTACCACAAACGCGCCAGATGATTTCTAAAGCTGGACCACCGTACTGCTACTGACACAGTCTTCTTTCCTTGAACACCGAAAAACAAGGAAACATTGTTTGTGTTAGCCATGGTTGCACTTTTCCTATCCGCTCTCCTCCGTTCGTTTTTTTCCCCAACTCCCCTCCTCCCAGTGGCGATTGTTAACCCCCACTGGACTTTGCCTTCTCTTGGGAAGAGGGACACAAGGGGGGAGACGGGGAAAAGGGAGAGAAAGGCCCTTGGGCGCTTCAGAAGAGGGGGCGTCGGGGGGGGTGGGGAGGGGGAGGAGTTTCGCAAAGACCTGTCTGCTGCTGATGTCACTCCCCTCTATTTTCTTCTTGTTCGACTTCCTAGCTCCCGAGACTCTCTCAAGGACAAAGATCCGAGAAACTTCGCCACTATCGATAACACCGAGAAAAGCGCAAAATCGAGATAGCAACGGAACATAATGAGGGTTTACACAAAACTAATTACTAAGAGCAGTAAGACCGACGACATTGGAGGCGATGAACAGCAAGAGGAGCCACAGGGGATAAAATCGAAGGCAAACGTCGGCAGCGAAGGGACGAAGCTTCAGCCGCCGGATCGTACAATGATCGTTATAGAAGTCCGTTGATGGTAATCTTTATTATTCTACTGTACGCACAAATCAAGAAATGAAAGGAGAAATACCAAAAACCCCGCCTGCTGTACACACAAATCAAGAAATGGTCCAAATTATCTTGCAAGGGAACAAAGATCCTTCGCGCTCGAGACCTGCCGTATGCACTGCGTACCTGACATTGGGGTCATAACTCCTGGCAGAGCACTGGTTCGTCTCCTTCTCCAACTGCTCAGGAGCCGAGGACTCGACACGTCTCGAGCACTGATCGAGGCTTGACTCACAGTCGCCGTTCCCACGAAATTATTTTCCGCCTTCCACTGCTTCGCCTCTTTCTTCATTTTCTTCTTTCCCGTCCAAACGTCTTCCCTCCCGCCAAGCAACAAGGTCCCCCCCCTTCCCAAAGGAGAGAATCGTCCTTCCCAAAACACCGATGAAGAGTATAAAAACGACAGCTCCGACGTACCCAGCAGAAACCCGTCGCACCTTAGTCGGCCAACAATATCCATCATCAACACCGAGGCTCCGCGCTCACCTTCACAGCAATCCCCTTCTGCTGCCCTCTCTATCTTACCACGATGCCCACCGGACTTCCCTCCCCCTTTCCTCCTCTTCCTCTGCTCATCCCTTTCGCCCACGTATCCACAGCTCTTACCCAACGCACACACTCCCTGCTTCGACTCCCAATCCCGCCAACTAATCGCGAGCTGCGATCCCGCTCGAGCCACCGCCACTGCCATCTCTCTCTCTCTCTCTCTCTCTCTCTCTCTCTCTCTCTCTCTC